AGAAGTAGTTTTGATACTTCAAAAAAAATCTCTATTGCGTATATTCCATGGGGGGTTCTATTAAAGTAATATTCTTGTAACTTCCTGTTTTATAAATTAGAAAAAAAAAAAAAAAGTTTCATTCGTACGAGTAAAAACGTATAAATTTCAAAAAATAATTTTGAATAATCCGGTCCTTGATCTTTATTTTCCCAGCTCTGTTTTATATAACAGAGTTTCTGGGAAGTCAAAAAATTCCAGTCCTTGATTTTTTGATTTTCCGGTGTCTGTAAAAATATTGGGCGGTTTAAAAAGACTCCCAATTTTTACATTTTTGGACTCAGGGAATTTTGAAATACAAAATACAGAAATAGAAAAAAAATTGGGGTTTTTTTCACTATGTATGGATGTAAGTATGTGTGGGTATGGGGGCACGATTTTGTTTATCCTGTTTAAAGCTTAATAATTCCTGTACATTTTGTCCAAAATGTTTGAAATTTTGCAGTGAGGTTTATGTATTAAGGGGATTGACTCAATTAAATTTTGGTGATTAAAAGTCGAGAGAGTGGGGATATAAAGAGGGTTGTATATCGTATCTCGAGTACAGTCGGATTTAATGACGTTTTACTCATTATCAGCATTTACAATTTTTTTTTATAAAATCTGTCCTTATCCTTGAAATTAAGCTTTTTGCCATTTTATAATAATTAAAAATATGAAAAGTTTTTTAGTAAAATATCATAACAGATGGCGCCCCACGCAGTTTTATATGTTGCCGGAAAAGTCAAGTAACTCGTTGCTGGATTTTTTTTTTAAAAAGTAACCGATGTATTTTCTTTGCTAAAAATGCAGCTATATTTATTAGGAACATCATTATTATAGAGATACAGTAGCATTTTTAATAGCATAATCATTTACTTTAATTTACCTTTTTCTTATATTCATTTAATCACTTAATTTAATGTTCTTTACAAGCATCATCATTATCACAGCAATATCGCTTTTAATACAGCATAATTTTTAATGTAGAAAGCAGTAATACTTGATATAATACATAGCGACAAGTTTTTCAATCGTGCTAAAAGTTATTTTTTTAAATTTTTATGTAATTATTCGCGAATTTCTGGCAAAATTGAGCTCGTTAGTATAAAAATCTAGTAACGAGTTGCATAACTTTCACGATAAAAATGCTAAAATTGTGTGTGGTGCCATCTGTTACCAGATTTAAAAAAAAAAATTTATATTAGTATTATAAAATGAGAAAAAGTAAAATTTTCATAAAGTCCGATCCAACTCAAGGTACGACGCATGATCTCCTGTATCTCCCCCCTCGACCTTTAACCACTAAAATTTAGTAGCATTAACAAACAAACCCTTATGCAAAATTTCAGAAATTTATGACAAAAGTGTACGGGAGTAGTTAAGCTTCAAAGAGGTGAATAAATTCGTGCCCACACACACACACTAACATCTATACATAGAGGAAAAAAACCTCAACTTTTTTACATTCCGCGCTTCTACATTTACCTCTCCATTACATACATAACAGTCGCGGGAGTAAAAAAGCTGTTTTCTATTAAGATCTAACTTTTTGTATAAACTTCTTCCCTGTACAGCAAAAAAAACTAGTTTGATATATTTAATTTATATTCAAAGAGTAGAGCGTTGATCTCTACTTTTCTTGGGGATATTTTCAGAACTTTATATTTTATATAACTGTAAGATATCGTTTCTTATCTACTTTACGTACTTATCTTTCACTGCTTACAGCTTCCTTCTTTTTTATGGCGACTTTCTAACTTGACAACAAGAACTATGATCGAATGTTTTCGTTTACAAGCCTCTAGGAATTTATTACATAAAAATATATTAACTTAAAACTTTGAAAAAGAATTTAAATGTCAAATTTTATTTTAAATATCTTAAATTAATAAGAAATTTTTATTTTGTATGCTGTATTTTTTGAAAATTTCCACTTTATTGAATTAATCCATTAGTTAAAAATGGTTGTCTTATTTACTTTTATACTTGGCTTAATGTAAAGTATTCGTAAATACCACTAATTAATTATAATAACGTTAAAAGTTCTGGCGCTTATTTGTTTTCGTTAATTTAATTAAATACTCAAATCTCCAGACGTATATTTTCTAATTACAACACAAATTAAACAGAAAATAATTTATTTTTCAAGCTTCTAAGTACCTTTTGACCCATGTGAGAAGTCCGGTTTTTTTTTTCAAAAGAGACTTATTGTGACTGCTTACAATTTAAACTGGGGTGTATTTTTCATGGGTGATCTTATTTTACTGTTAACGGAGTGATTCACGTGTTTTAATTATTACACCAGACTATACAAGGTGCGTATTTAAAAAACGTGCATTTATTAAATCGGTGGGATATCGGGGACTTTTTATGGAAAACTTCACGCCACAAGCCTGTTAATCGGGCACGAACCCACACTAGTTTTATCCACTGGGCCGTTTATAGAATGTATACAAGGCAATTATTGTTTTGCTGTTTTGGAAATATTATTCAAAAGCACATCGTGTTGTCTTGTTCCGAACGACGTTACAATCAATAATTTAATATTATATAATCGAGAGGGTAAATTCTTTTGAGGAGGATGCTTCTTAAAAGGGTCCAGGAGGTCGATGTGAGAAAAATATTGAAAGAATTCCATTAGGAGATTATTGTATTACTCAAAAGATTTCTAATGAATGATGATAATTTCCTGAAGAAGTAGTTTTGATACTTCAAAAAAAATCTCTATTGCGTATATTCCATGGGGGGTTCTATTAAAGTAATATTCTTGTAACTTNATGCATTGTTTCTCTTGATATTTGTATTTATTTTTCTAAATTTTTAAAAATTTCTGACGAAAGTAAGTTTTTTTTTCTGATGTTTTTTCTAATAAAATAAAAATTTCTTCGTATTCTACAAAATATCGAAATTTTTAATGATTGGAATTCCAAAATACCTTTAAAAAAGCGTGAATTGTATACAGTAATAAGAAGTTCGAGTTTTTAGAAAGCACCCCGAAATATAATAGAAGTTCGTTATTCCGGCATCCGTTAATACAGAACGTCCGGTAATCCGACATCTGAAAAGAAGCCGATAATCCGGCATGCTACTATTCCGCGAATCGATATTTGTTTGAACACGTGATGCGCTGAACACCCCTTTCTCTTTACTCGCACCTTCGTAACGCATTGTACTCGTGTGCTGTGTATTAAAGAACGTGCGTAAACAAATTATTTTAATTAACAGAAACACAAAAAATATATTCTCTCATGAAATATAACTTTTATTAAAATATATATTTAACTTCAAATACATTACAATATATAACCTCCAATATATACATGTACACAATATATTCATTTAAAAAATTTTACATAAATAATTTTATGAAATAAGACTATATTCTTTTATTTTCTCTATTTTCATTCCTATTTTCTATATTATATCACAATGGCTATTAATAAAAAAATAATTCATAAAAGATTAATACACACGTAACAAGTATTTATTTATGGTAAGGGAGAGGAAACTTCATAAAATCGGTTTGTTTTATTGATTTCTCGAGGTAAATGTGTTGTTTACAACTTTCTGAATTTTTAACGTAAAGAAATTTAATATTTAATTTAAGTACTAACTAGATTTTAAATCCGATAAAACTTAAATTATTTACATACCCATACCTCAAATTTTTTCATACAGCAAGTCGTTATTTACATATATAAACAGCTTTTATTCTAAACCAGGGGTTTACATAGGTCCAAAAAACTTAGTTTAGTTTATAAAATTTTACGTACGACATGTATAAGTGCATTCTCAAAGATATATAAGCACCATTTGAATGTTTACAATATATCAAAACGAGTTGAAATATCGACACATCAAAAAAAATCTATTCTAAGAATACTTAAATCTCCTGTGAGATAAAAAAACACACACACAAACACCGGAGTTCCTAAGTGTCTGTTTCTAACAAGAATTTGGTAGTAAAAACATATCTGGAATGCTCAAAATAATATATATTTTGCCAAATCTTCATAACTTTTCATAAGGCTACAACATTATCTTGATGGTTGTGAGAGGTTATCATCACGGTTTTGTCTATAGATTTTAAGAGAAACCAAATAACTTTTTGTTTGTTAACCTGTATATAAATTGGCTTTAAGGTAGGAATTATGCACATATATAATTTTCCTGATAATTAGAATTAGGACACTCATCAGGTTTTGAAAGGCTATTAGCATAATAATGACAAAATTAAATGTCTAGACTACATCGTGAGATAATAATTAAGTCGTGTATAACACGTAAAAATAGAAAAAAAATCTCTTAACATACTTCATGTAATTAGTTGTGAGAACTAGAATGATAAAGAGATGCAATAATATCTTAAAATTCGACACGTCGTTAGTAATATTGTTTATACATGGCTAGTGATAATTACGACGAGAAAAATTCATTAAGTATACAAGAAAAATCGTAAAGTTAAATTTAAAAAAAAATAAAAAAAGTAGTCAGTCCGCAGCGATACAAATAAGATACATTACAGAAAAATTTTCACAATGAAGAAACTGATTGGCCGATTTAAAAAAGATTGATTGATAACGTCAAATTAGGCTTTATTGGGGCTTCATCCAATTTTTCAATTTTCAAACTAAATAAGCGTAAAAAAGAATATTTAAAATATTTTAAATTGCTTTTTTGTTTTATTTTAATTGATTTCGAGTAATAAATATATTATTAGAGATTTTGAAAAAAAAATTATTTCAAATATTATAAAAGTAACGTTTAGAAGAATTTGTTTACAATTGAAGGATGGAAAGATACAGATAAAATATTCCATTAGTGTAATCAATTTATCTGATATATTATAGATACTTTTATAAATATAAAATATAATAATATTAATAACAGAATGGAGGAATCTAATTTTTTGAATGAAATTCTATAACTAAACGTAAAAGTTTTCTAAACAAACACAACGGAATTTATTGAGAATTTAATGTAGAAAGTTTAAACTAAGTCATGAATTTTATTTTTACAAATTTTAAAATGTTTTTTGAGACTTTTCGTAAAAAATGAACACAGAAAATCTCAAAATGGCACTTTGTTAGATTGAGCACTTAATATGGAGTGTAACTTTGGCTCTGTACAGGAGATTCTTAGCATAAATTTCTTTGTTTTCTTTTCAAATAGGTATTTTACTTTGAGGGAAGTATATTTAAATTTACACGCGTACATCCAGAAAGATAAAAGTATTACCGAACAATGTTGTTAGGATTATCGAGATTGGAATGATCGCTACCGCAATCGAATAACACTTTGTAGTATCTGCGTAAATAGTTGAACACGCATCGTCTGAACACACGACTACTTAAATTGTATAAAATAAAATTAACTGCGAAGTTGCTGTAGTAGGGAAGCATCGTGTAACGCTGTATGATGATGACGTTGACTGTTGGCTTGCTGTCGGTGAATTCCAGATACAATGTATACAATCGCATGACGTAACTAGGTAGATTCAAAATCAGGAATGTGGTGGAGACGAGAAACAGCATGCGTGCTGTGTTCATTTGGATCGATTGGGGCGTGCCTTTCTTCCGTTTTCTGCAGGAATCTGGAAAATACGTATCTTTAAATAAATGAAAGATAAAATCGCAGTTATTAATCGCATTCCTTGATGACATTAGATCCTTATTCAACTCTGTCTACAGAAATAATTAGTAGTATTTGATGTGATGAAATATCAGGATATGCGGAATATATTACTCCAAATAGCGTTGAATAGGAATATTTTAATTAAGAACAGCAGGTGTCAACTTCAGCTATAACATAAAGAAGAATTCCCTCTTGTGGAAAGATATTCGAAAATACTTCAGACAAAAGCATTTTTCGAAGGATAAAAACGTCGTATTTGATGTTTATAAAACATTTTGCTACTATACCTGGTAACAGCTTCATATTTTCAAAAGTATACGAATTGCCATCGTGTATAATGCATGGAATGTGACAATATACAAGAAAGACGTCTAAAAGACGCCGATTTAGAAGATTTAAACTCGATATTTTCAATTCACTTTCGCCATTTTGGACAGAGCTGCATCAGTTTACCTAAAGCAAAGTAAATAAACAGGTTAAGAAAAATATTTTTCTACATCTTTGGCAACTTAAAAATTATTAGAGAAATGCTGTAGAACATCTTTACAGACTTAAGGGGGAAAAAAGATAGATAATGGATTAATATTTAACAAATAAAAAGTAGGAAAATATAAAATATGAATTTCTTCATTCATTATGAAAGATCAAAATAAGAAAAATTGCGTTATTAACCGTTTATTCGCTTAATCTGTTTGAATTTGAAGATAGTGATTTAAAGGGTACATTTTGACTTTACACATAAGGTCGACTTTATTTTAATTTAAATATTTTATAATTTCCTCCACGTGGAAACGTCTCTTCATTCAAATCTCTTATTAGAGTGACCTCAAATGGCTTTCTTTATCGATCGATAATACAATCTGTTGAGTTTCTAACCTAAACGGAATTTATAAAAACGAAAGAATACGTTAAAAAATTAAATCTTGAATTATATATGAACACGTGTGATTTAGAAAACGTATTACTGCTATCTCCAAATTTGCGTATTAAACGTAATTCTCGTTATAACTACATCGTTTATATCGTTGGAAAAGTGACTTAATTGAATAAAATTCTCCTTTTTACTAATGCAACGCAAGAAATGATTAAAGGAAATTATTAAATCGTTCTGATAGTGTTTAAGATCTATCACATGAGGTGATGTTTACATGAGATTAAACAAAGTTAAAACTGCCAACATCGGTGTTTCTGAAAGTGATTCTGACAATTTGTAATGAACGCTAATCAATCGCTTTCACACGACAACTAAGAACAATACTCACTAGAACACACAAGAACTAAGAAAAGCATGCAATAAATTTACAAATTTTAAAAATTTCGAAGCACTTTAGCACTTTTTTTTATCATACTCATATTCATAAACATCAAAAATTGAGTTAGATATTATCCAATAATCTTATACGTACTAAAGTGAATGGTAATTGGTTAACTTCAAACTTTTTCATTGTGCATGAGGCTATTAGACAGGAACAAGACAAATGGCATACAAGAATCGATCGCGAACGTTTGAGTTGTGCGTTATCTACCGAACAATTTTTGAAGTATTTTTATTGTTTTTAATAATACGCGAAGTTTCTTTCTTGTTTTCGGATTGTTTTATATATTTTCTACTACAAAAAACAATCAAAATTCGTGTTCAGTTATATAATTTTTGCCCTGGAGGAATTCCAGCTCGTTACTACTTTCGCTTCTATTCGCATTTTATACTTCAATATTATTTATTTTTATAATAGAAGAGAAATTTTCTATTCCAAATTCTATTGTAATATACTACCGGATCAAAGAACTTTAGAATAAATATTTTTATGACGTGAAAAATGAAAAAAGTTTCTACAAAATGACCTTATCTTCGACACAGAGGAATATACAACATTATTATTTTTTTATACAATCATTTCTAAATATATGTCATTATATGGGAGAAACAACAAAGGAGAAGTATTGTGCAAGTTTGATGATAGGCTGTCAAGTGTTTACTAACCTAGAAAATATCATTAAGAAGAAAAAGATTAATCTAACCATACTTTAATTCTAATTTAAAAAAAGTACGTAAATTTATCAGTTATAGTGATTTTACAAAGTTTAAGAGGGTTGTTTCAAGATTTATTTTTACCAGTGTGCCCATCACTCATTGATTGATAGTTGGTGATGAGTTCGTGCTTCACCAACGTGCTACGTGGAGTTTTCCGGTTCTTCACGTGTCTAACTCTTAAATAGGAGCCAATTCCCCATAGAAAGTCCTTCTGGGAAGATCGCCCATGTGTGGCATTGTCGTATCTTACTAATACAAAGATTCACACAGAAATTTCCTTGTTCCCAATGAATCCCAATTAACAAGCAAACCTTCAGAAGTTAGACTCTTCTCTGTTGGCATTTCTAATTGCACTTTCGTGTTTACTTTTACTAATTTATAAAGTTAACACAGGATTATCATTAATACGGTTTTAGATAATCCTTCTTTAAGAAATTAAGCATTGTTTGTTTACGAAAGAGCAGTTTTCTCCTTCGGTAACAAGGAAGATTGTGTTATTTTTATGAAAACAAATAAAATTATTGAGTTATTTATTTTCAATAATGAAAATATATAACTCAGTTAAATTAATCCTGGGCTAATATGTACAAATAAAATTATTTTACTCTCTTGAAACAGTTATCTTTTGAACAATTTCTCGTAACGGATGATCGATTTTAATTAATTAAATTGCTGGATTATAGGTTTTTAGTGTTTTTAATTCTAATTTAATTTTTTATTACAATACAATCTTATTGCGCATAGCCGTACTAATTTCCATATGTTTACAATTTCAATAAATTTGATTTACAATATTCTAAGCCAATTTTCATTTATTTTTACACTAAGTTTATATTTATTCATTTTTTTTTGTTTTTAAGAATCTTTACACTTTCTTTAAATCTGCGATTATACGTTATTCTTTCTTTATGAAGGATTTTTACGTTATTTTTATCAATGTTGACGTATAGTGTCGTGAAAAGTAGAGTTAATTGTATTATATATAAGGTTCGCAATATGTTCCTTCAATTTGACTTTCATTTTTCTCTTGTTTTCACCTATGTAACTTTTTTTATCACTGCAAGTACTGTACAAGGAATGTGACACAATGTTTCTAGTTTCAGATATTGTTTGCTGATCTTTTGGGGGTATTTAGACGTTTTAATTTAGTAGATATTTTTTCATATTTCCGTGCTAAATTTAATTTCATATTATTAAATTCGATCGATTTAACTTAATTTTATTTTATTTTGTCTTTTGAACACTATATAGTGTAAATACACGAACACTTGGCAATCTTAACCTTAAGTTTATTCAGTTTTTAGTTGAAAAACTGAATAAACTTAAGGTGAAGACTGCCAAGTGTTCGTGTATTTACACTGTATAGTGTTCAAAAGACAAAATAAAATTATATTAAGTTAAATTGACAGAATTTAATATTTTAAAAATTTTTTTATCAAATTCAGAATCTGGTTCATGAATTCGGCTAAAATACAATTTATAATTCAATTTACTTTTATATAAACCTAGAATAGAAATCAATTTAAAAAGATATATGTCAACAAGACGTGACTTTAGAAGTCTAGCAACACAAACGAGACAGTGTCTGATTTGTAAACGACACGAGATAAATGGAAACCATATTACATTGCAGCACGCCACAGAACTCGATAAGCACGTGTACAAAATCAACGTAGATTGTTGTATATTTTACGCCATTTTTTAGAAAATAAATTGATTTACCTTGATCTCTCGAGGAAGATTCTGTAGGTGAATTGCCAAATTCTCGATGATAGTTTGTGTAAAATGCAAACAAAGAACGTCCTATCATAAAATTGGCGTAACTGATGATAATCACTGGTAATATCAGCGTAACGATCGTATCCACAATGTTTATGTAGAACATTTCACTGAAAATTAAAATTTCTCTTTGAAATTATGTTAGAGATAAGCAATTTAGTGACAGGTATACTGTATAAACTTGGAAACGTAGTACAATAACCTTGAATTATGATGGAAGAGAAAATTTTAAACAAGAAGAATTCAATAAATAGGATGGCCCAAAACTTAGTTAACTGTTTTTAAGTTTATTAATCGTAGTTTGTGTCTCAAACGAGAAGGATCTCATTTTCAACAATTTTTGGATAGGTTGTAAGTGAATCAAGCGTTTAAATAAGACAGAAATGAAGTCTTTACGATGGTTAACTGACTTCGCGTCACCCTGTACACAATGTAAAATTGTGGTTCGCAGTTATTTTAATGGCGATTGATTGAAAATATGGTTAATTTAATAGAAAATTTATCTTAAAAGCAATTCGTCAAAGACAGTTATCTTCAAGGTGATTGGCTGAACGAGTACAGATAAGTACATTTTCTATCTCCTCAATCAATTGCTATTAAGATAACTATATTTTCAAGGTTAAAGCAATTTTTCGACTTTTATTACTTAAAAATATTGCAAAAAAAAGCATTAAAAATCGCGAAAACTTCTATCCTTTATCATCTAAAATTATTTCAATATAACAAACCATATTTATAAAATTTTATATATATATTATAGATTAATATAAGAATTTATGTATTTAATTCTTCATATTTTTTTATAATTAACTTTAAGAAGGAAATAGATTAAAATGAGTAAACTTACGTGAAATACGTTAAATAAACTTCGCACATCAGATGACTATCGAATTCGTACAGCCCTACAAATTCAAAGATGTAGGAATTTAATAAAAAACTGACGATTCCGATAATGGAAACGACGATTTTAGCCCTGTTATTAGTGCCAAAATGGCACTTGTGACAGAGTGGATAATTAACAGCAACGAATCTTTCTATGGTGAAACTGACAGTCAGCCAGACGGACCAACAACTGAATGATGATGTTAAGAATGCCATGACTTTGCAAACGATCCAATAATTAATAATCTACAAGGAAAAAGGACATGTAAGAGTCAGGAGTAATTAATTTTTTAAATAATTCGATATTGATATTGATGTTACCTCGAAGCAATAATCGTGAATCCATTGAAAGGCGAGTATTAAGAGGAAGCAGATATCTGATACTGCAAGATATCCCAGGTAGCAACTAGAAGGACGAAAACGTATACGGGAAAAGAAGAACATGGCTATGGAGATACCATTCCCGATAAAACCTCCTATCACAAGTACAGGGATGTAGTACACGCTCAGAATTTTCACGGCTCTATAACTGAGACTGAAATCTACAATGGTTTCGTCGGAAGCGTTATGCATCCCAACCTTTGAAGTCTCATTCTCTTCCATCTGAAATAAAGGTATATTCGTTTTAAAATGTTACTTTGTATCATATAAAATTCGTAGAGTTTTAACTAGAATAATAGGAAATACCATTGCAATGAGGGGTTCGTATACGAATTCTATCTGGGTCTTCATAATTTATCACTCATAATTGGAAATAGACATCGTACTCCATTCCTCATCCATACTTACTGATATATTATTGGACCCTTCCCGCTTATAATCAAGAAAATTTAAACTACATGTTAGAAAAAGTAGATTTTTGTATCAAATGTATTGTACTGGTTTCGATAGAAGTAACGTCAAGATGTCTTCTGAATGAATTTAATCGTGGATTCTTTGTCTTATTTTTTTGGGATCTTCGTTCTGAACCTTAATTTCAAGCTGATTATGGATTCGGCAATAGTATATTACGCAATTACTTTATAATACAGGCGATTATGACATGAATGGAGCGGAGCGAGTGGGCCAATTTCCATGAATGCCATAATCGCTAATTATAAAAGAATTGTCATACGGTATTTCGTGGTTAGACTACACCTATAACATTATACTTATGAAAATTAAAATTACGTATAAACACAGTGTTTGTGTCCACCGTGCCATAAATACTGTGTTTATACATGATTTTGAGTTTCATAGTATAGTGTTATAGGTGTAGTCAACCACATAAAATATTTTAAACTGAATCGATCTCTTTATGCAATATTCAGACTTCTGTTTATCCCAATAAACCATAAACTAGAAAAAATATATATATTTTTTGTCTTTATAAACAGGTTGGTTTGACGATAAGTTATCAAGAACTTTGTACAGTACATATCTCTAAAAATAGAAAATTCTATATAAGTGTTTTCTTCAGTTTCCCAGCTACAGATCTACAAAAAATTGTAATTTAAAAAAGTTGTAATTTATCAACTTCTTACGTTTACATATAAAGTGATTCGAAGAACAAAAATGTAATAAAGCTTTAGAAATAAAGTCTTAGTCTTTTCATCTTTATTATATACATAAAGTAAAATATAAGTAATTTGCTTCAAAATCACATTTGAAAAATTTTATTGAAAGTTATTTCTCACGCATCATTTTAATTTAATATTAAACTAGGATGTTAATAAATATTGTTTACATTTGTCAACTGTACTAAATTAAAGACAAAATAATTTAATTATGTATGTGTTTGGCAAAAATCTCTTTTCTGCATTTTTTTTGCTGTTGTTGTTTTTGTTTTTTGCATCTCACGATATAGAGATTTTTTTAAAATTCAAAAAATAAAATTTTCAAGTAAAGTATTCGTTTAAATATTTGATAATTTATAACGGAATAAACCTATTTTTATTACAAATTATTTATTGAAAACACGAAAAATAACTTCTTTACTCGGTAGTTTTGAACCGTTTATAAAAATAGTCTGATTACTTTAAGAAAATATTACATTTCTTGCTTTCTCGTTATCCTGGAACAAGTTCATTCTGAACTATTATGTCTGATCGAGTGTTAAGCCAATATGTTACGTACGTAAAACTGAATACACGTAAAGTTCTTCACTTTAAAAATCACTTCTTTTGTAAGTGCCGAAAGTATTTTTGATGGGAGACGAATAAAATCGGCAGAGATATAAAAAAAAATCTATAAAATTGTGTGATAAAGTCTTCTGGTTGGTTATTGAAAAAGGAAATGAATGGCAAGAGAAAAGAATTCCGAGTAATATAAGGAAATAAAAAAATGCTTAAGTAATAAAAGCAATATCGTACGAAGTATTAACTTTGACTGAAGTACGCGAATCCGTGTAACACGATGAGTGTAACTCCGATTGACAGACATGACGTAAAATATTTCATATTGAGAAAATACTACATCTTAATACTTGAGATCAAAGTTTCTCTTAAAACTTTCTTCAAATTCTTTTCAGGAGTTGAATATTTTTCAATAGAAACTATCAACAAATTTCATTTGAAATGAAAATTAAATATGTTTTGATATTAACCTGTTGAAATATTCGATGAAATCTATAAGATTATGGGATTAATGGGATAAAGCAATGCAACACTTGAGCGATTTACCAAAGAAAGATTGCCTGCCGAGAGAATTTTCAATGGGAAACTGGCCACTATTCGGGCGTAGGCACGTGAAGAAAACCCAGAAAACTTCACGTGCCGCTTGTCAGGCTCAAACCCGCAATCAGTGTTCAGCGATTTCATTCTCTTGGCCACTGCTGGGCACCGTTTTAGATTTCATTTTTTTTTTTTTCTGTTTTTCGTGTTAAGAGGTTTTCATTATTTATCTTTGCTAACGTTTTGTTAAGCTATTGACATCTAAAGTTTGGATTATCAAAAGATATCTAATTCAAAACGTAATGATTTTTACCGCTTTGCAAATCGTTTTATCTTTTTAACGTATCAATAATGAAATCTTAAACATTACCAAGTGGCCAAATGCCTAATGGTTTTTAAATGTGTGTAATTACAGTTATTCTTTTTGAAACATTTTATATTTATAATGCAATTCTTTGCAATGGCAATTACGTCTGTGGACCTTACGAACCCATTTTATGTGCTCATTGTGGGTTTAGCCAAACTCTTAATAGAGCAACCTGTTGGGCAAGAATAGAACGGGCTAGCGCCGAAAAATTCCTTATTTTCAATCTAGATTTGAATCCGGTCGCTCGAAGTGTCAGACTGATGCTTTTATCTTCTCAGCCACATTTTAATTTTTGGCACGTCAAGACGGATTTAAACCATTACTATCTTCCTCGACTAATTAACTAACATAAAAATTATATCAAATTCGAGAAACTGCATTAAAAAAATATGGATTTCACAATAGAGAAATTTATAGAGTGTGATTGTGATTTAAAGATGGAAACATAAATATGATCTTTCATTACATAAATTCTTGCTAAATTGATTGAGGAGTTTATCGAAAAGTAATTGCTTTCTTGACGTTCTATTCATTTATTTCTATTATAGAAAATTCTTTTGTTCACTAACACCATTAGTTACATTCCTCACAGGATAGGTAACTGTATCTAAGTGAATTTTAAATCCCAGAGAGATCGCTCTCGTTCAGAAGGCAATGTTCTCATTAACATTCTTTGATGCCTACTAGTTCCCTGGTGTTTCTTCTAAGATCGATAATTTTCTCCAAAACGTTTCTTATCTTCGAGCATCAATAGATTTCATTGATAAAAAAACAACCGAACTATTTATAGCAGTGTATATACTATCGAAAAATAATTACTTTTTGATGGTTGAAACAACGCTAAAATTATCTGAAGGAGATTTATAAAATCTTTCCACGTCTTGTATTAGATTTGCACCCAAACAACGATTTAGTCGCGTTAAGTTATCCGGGTTTTCTTCTCGTGTTTAACAGATAAAGAGGAGCACGTTCCTGATAGAAAGTTGTTCTCCAGGCAGTCACAACTCTCTAGTAGATTGCCCACGTGTTGCGTTGCCTTATTCCATTTATATTCCTAATCTATAATTAACATACTTCGTATAGTAAACATCGGTAACTCTCAAAGTGCTATACACAAATAACGATTCAAATTTTCCTAAGATACATCTTCTAGCATTTATATTTTCCTTATATTCAGATAAATTTAATTTATATATCGATTTTTCCGAGTTAAATAAATTTAAACCAAGTCAAAATCTAAATATCTTACTTGTATTATTTAATTAAAGTTAACGAATAGAATTTATGAAGTAAATATTTATAATGTAACTTCTTTTAATCTCCCACATCCTCACTGTTAGCAATTCTTCCTTGAAATGAAATTCAGTAAACAAAATAAATGCATGAAAATCTTGAAAACTGAAGCTCTTAATCTTATTTTCTGTAAGAAAAGTGTTTTCTGAAGCATATTTTAAGTGCATGTTGCAAATTCACCATAAAATGTCTGAAGTACACAAAAGAAAAGAGAGAATTCTTGAAAGAGACCAATAGCGAGTTATATAATTTAAATATCAATTATATGCGAATAAAATAACAATTTTTTATTTGCATTTACATTTAAAAATTATAAGGGTAATTAAGTTTTTTTTTCGTATCACATGGTGGTGTTCTGTAACGACGCTTTAAAAGTATATGAGGAGAACCAACGTGTTGGCAATCGATAAGGTTAACGAGATTCGCACAGAACGAAAACAAACTCTTTATACATAAAATCTTCTTAAAAAATGACTTTTTTGCTGCTTTAAATTTTTATTTTACGTAAGTGAATTGTTTTCTAAGTAGGAATCATTCATGCAAACATTGCAGAAGACAATAAAAGAAGGAATTCAAAGAAATCCAATATCTACTTCCTACATTTGGCTATTTTTATGTTACTTTCTCGCCTGTTTACTGTCCCGCCGGGAAAGCATTGTAATCGTGTCAAATTTGACCCTCCGGATTTTTGCAAATATCGAGATTTTGAGATCCCTTACCCCAAAAAGTTAAGATAACGGGAGAAAATTTGTGTGTTGAAGTTTATTTCGTTTAACATTTCAGGGTAAGCCATGTGAATGGAAACACGAGCGTGTTGTGAGTGTCACGTGTTACTAACTCTCTCATTGAATGGATTGGTAGCACGTGACACTCCCGATATCTTCGTGTTCCTACTCATATGACTCGAGACTAGGGCAGATGGGGCAGAATGGGAAATGGGGTTTGCGTTTGAATCAACTGAAAAATATTGACAAACTTTAATAAATTCAAATAATGTTTTTAAAACTATAAACTTGTTATATTTTATG